CCTACATTCCCACATCACTAGGGATACAAGTATCCATAACATATCGCGGGAAGTAAAACATGCAGAACTGCACATACAAGCTTGAAAATAACACTCTAAATAGTGTGTTGGATTGTGTTTTGAACAAGACTAATACCAAAAAGATATGTTGAAAGTTATATTTGGCGAAAGTATGGCTTAGTGATGCATTGTTTACATTCTTCGAGTTTATTGTATATATTATGGTATGGTTAGTTTACATTGTTCAAGTATGCCTAGTTTATAATTTATGTCTATTTTACATTGTTCGATTTCATAGAACTTTTCAAGCGGATTTTTTTGGTAGTGCTTTCGTATTTCTACTGCAAATACTCGCAGAGTTCTGTAATATTTAAACTTCCTGTCATATACGTCGGACATCAAGTAATACGGAGCCATATGAGTTTATGTTAAGAGTAATTCTACACTATGTTCTACACCAATTTATGCGACGCGAACATGCTATCTTATACAACATAAGCACAATCACATTATACACATTTATTGCAGCATTTAATAACTGTAAAAACGCAAATACTTAATACCAGAAAATAAAGGCACAGATAAATGACTTTCCTCCTGCTCATATTTTGAATATTGCATCCTTTCCTCCTAGTGTTGTAGGTATCCCCACCGGGGGTGCTTTCATCCCTAGGGATATTAGTGTGGGGATACACAAAACACGGGGATACTCATTAACTGTGACACCGCTTCCCTCCCTATAACACGCTCCATGCCACCTAAACTCACTTTGTCCCGTGGGAGGGTATAGGCTGAAGTATGTGAAATACAAAGAACAAGTTTCTAGGAGTGTTTACTTTGATAATAGCATAGTTGCCTGGGTTTCTTTTGTTTCAACAGGGTCGATTACTTACTAATGTAGCAGGCGATTTGTTCTGATCGCCCGCTTGACTGGGGGATTTGTTCTAATCGCCCGCTTGACTGCGTGATTTGTTCTAATCGCCAGTTGGCAAGGATCACACCCTTTGTCTCCCGGCCGACTACGCATTAGGCAAGTGCCTCACTCACATAATCGTGCAAGGAACAGCAACATGCACTTAGCTCAGAGCCGCCAATAGTCTATCATCAGATCCCTGAGTTGTTGCATCCTTTAAATTACCAACTTGCAGTCCCCGATTTATACTAATATAATTAGCGTTTTTGTTGTTGTACGTTAAATGATAGATTGTGCATGCGTAACCGATTAAAGCGTAAAAAGTGCGCGTGTACAACAAGCTTTTTTACATCCCACAAGCAAAGAAGCAACTGTTTTAGCTTAAATTCGCTGATTGCAAGTAGGGCATGTTTGTCCATTTTTAAACGGGAGCGCAACTGTGCTATTATACAAACTAATAGAACGGTTTTTCGGGAGATTAGTGATTAAATGACCCCTTATCCTCGGCAGGTTTGCGGAAATCCCTCGGGCTTCGCTTTCGGGGATTCCGCAAACCTGTCTTGGGTTACGGGCCATTTAATCACTAATCATCTCCCTCAAGCCATGCTATATTACTTATAAATATCGTACATTGAATTAATCGAAATGTATAATTTACTTTAGTATAAACCTACCAGTAGGCTATCATATTTTGTGCGTTCTGATTGGCTACGCTACTAGTATAGGCTATTAGTGATAGCCTACTAGTAGCAACCAACGGCGAAGGGTGCGAGAGTCAATTGACGTTTTTAAGTATCTAAAGCTTCATTTAATGAGAAAAAACCTATCAAAATGGCCTCATTTTGGTTCTAGATTACACACAAACAAAGACTTTTGAAAACTGCTGACACATACGGTAAAATTTTAAAGTTGTTTTTCGTTTAAATGTCGAGATTTTGGTCGAATTTGTTTTTCGCCTTTTTTTCGCCTTTTTTATAGTCAAGTTTTCCGGCGATTACATTATAGTTTAAACTTTTGAATATGTATAGGCCTACTAGATGATAGAAATGGTTTCTATAAACTCTATAGAAACAAGGAAAAAATGGGTTTTTTTCCTTTATTAAATTACCTTTTAAAAACAATAGAAAAGACAAATTTATTGATTTTAATTGCTTTTATTCAGATATTAAATCCACCTTAATTAATATACGTTCGTGTAAAGAATGATTATAAAAGCATAGCGAAGTAAACAAGTATATCGCTGTCAAAACACCAGACAGCACTTAACAGGCTTATACTTTACTAAGTATATAATTCACTCAATAACATACATTGTTGCATGCAAAGAAAGCACTGTTTTAAATAGTTAGTGAACGTCTAAACATAATTAAAAACTATAGTAAACATGCATGATTAAAAACGTCGCGAGGAAATATTTTTTTAAAAAGACAAAGTAAAATTAAAATATCTTGCCTTGCCCTTGGTAAACAGTCAAACAGATACAACGTGTCCTATAATTGTACTTTGTGCTTTAGGTCTTCGCTTTCCAAGTTAGCAAAGTGTTGCCTTTTTTTTTGTAACGGCTGTTCGGCATTTCGGGACGCTTTTCAACTTTTTCAAAATTAAATATTGCTCGTATTTTGTCTTTTAAACTCCCGCGCAATCCACGCAACCCGCGTAAAAATTCCCCGTGATTCTAATTTCAGCTTTTGACCAATCAGCGTTTGGAAATAAATTCGGCTGACGCTTGTTTGTATAAAAATACGAGTCGATAAGTACATTTAGTACAAAACAACATATGCTTAGGAAATAGGCCTATATACAAGGGGTTACAAAGCCTTGGAATTATCTGACATGAATTAACACTTGTTTTACATAATTCTGTTAGCAGGCTATAAATTTTAATTAACTTTGGTTCATCGATGATCATCGATGACTAATGAATTTGAATATCTGCCCCGTAACGTTCGCTATTTCAAATATGGAATGTCTATCCTTATATTGTGTTGTTTACAACTTTCGTGCAAACTAAATTTAGACCGTGCAAACTAAATTTAGACCGTACAGTTTATACTGTTTTTCGAAATATAGGATATTCAAGCAAAAGTTTAAATGTTTTAAATACTGTTTTCTCAAAACAGAACATTTCGTGCTTTGAGATAAGATGGCCAAGACCAATTTGATCAGTTAATGTGTTTTTTATGCATAGTGTTTAACAGTTGACATATATAGAGCTCAGCGGAATAATATAAATTATAGCATCTGACCAATGAGAATTGCGCGTCACGATTTGAGACGCAGATATTCAAATTCAGTAGTCATCGATGCAGGCTCTCAATTCAGCTTGAGAGCCTGTTCGCAGGCTACCTTTGGCCCTGTGTCCATGGAATATGGGCCATTTTGAAGAACAGGGAATTATAAACAAGCGTTGCCTTTGGCCGATTGTCTATCTAGCCGGACAAAAAGACAGTTGGAGTTTTATTTCCTTTCTAATTGTAAAAATTAATTACAGTCCTCTATAATTGTAAAACATATTGAATTCTGAGTGTTCCTAGCCATCTTAGGCTTGAAATAGCGAACTATGTAGATGTCTTCAAAATGTATTCAGCGAAGAACCGCCGCGAGAAACTGAATCGGTTCGCATCACTGATCAGTGGCACAGGGTCAGTGGTTCGCATACGGCAATCGCCTGATTTATTGCCTTTGTTTTGGAGTATCTTTGGCAGTTTGGCTTTTCCTTTATACAGTGTATCGCATTTATACGATTCGTTCAGAATTCATTTGAACTGTGACTGTGAACAATGATTTACTCAGCCACTCCTCCCTAAGTAACATACAGGGCGCTGATTAAAAACATCTCATATTCTGGGGTGTCGCGTGACCAACCTGAATCAGGGCTCTGCTGGAGCGTGTTAGGGAGAGAAGCGGAAGTAGACAGCCTTACTTGCGAGGTTGATCAGTTAGTAAACAATTTTACTGAAAAGATCGACTTTGAAATCTTCCTAATATGTACTCAGTGATGTCACCTGTCTCTTGATGACAATTAGTTAGTATAATGCAGCAGTAAACAGTAGATGCCTTTGTATGGCGTTTAATTAGTCAGTGTATATCACTTGGGTGTCAAGAAACCTTATGATAATTGTATTATTTTGTCAAATTTCACCGACAATCAAGCATGATGTTGACAAGACATGGCAATTAAAACCTAGACGTACTGTATGAAATAAAAACATAAAACAAGGGCTTTTCATTAATATACATATAGGTCAGTAATATGAACATTATCCCTTACTTGACAAAATATTTTGAGAAATTCTTCGATCAAGTTGATACATTTGTCCAATCCCAGAAGGATGTATACTGTAATACAGTACGTAATATTTCCTCTATTTTTAGGAGCGGTGAAACCAAATTCTTGCAAGAACGAACATTGGGGGGTTTCTTTTAATAAACAAGGATGGTCAACTTGCAATAACGACAAACTCTTTATTTCCGGATTTTATCGAAGCAAATTAGGCACCTGGAACAACGATGGGATTTATCGATTGGAAGAAGCAAAATGCTGTTCTTCTGATCTATATTATCGAGACCAAAGAAGTGAATGTAAAAATGCAAACTAGTGGAGCTCTCTCGACAAGTATGAAATGCGTATTAGTAGTTTCTCGATTCCAGCATCGTGTCCTAAAATTAATTAAAAATGCGCCTCAATATCCGTCAGGTTTACACTTGTTGCTTATCTTAATTTCTGTTCTAAAACAGCAAGTGTTCGACATTCTACTTCCTCTGCCCGGGCTTCAACATCCGATTTTACTATTTTGAATTACAACCCAACTGTTTTACTAACGGACCAGAGTAAGCAAACTATCGGTTCAGGACGTTAAGAAAGCAGTGAGCCTTTTCACAAATTCCTTCAAAATTTATTGAAATACCTTCGACCAAAAGTCTATGAATTTCCACCTAATTGGTGCGATTAGTTGGATATTTTGATCAGGTTAAGATTAAAGATTGAAAATTATCACATCAAAGTAATTATACATCCAGTACAAAAATCTGAATAACGTGGTAATACTGTGCAGCATTAGGGTGGTTTCTCTTATAATGTGCCAAAATGTCCTCTCAAAATCTCTTAACGTTTAGGTTGGGATTACGAACAAAGTGAGTATTAGGTTATAAAGATTGGGAAAATATTGGGAAGGTACATCCATAGGCCATATAAAAGCATACTTGGCATTATAAAACTTTCGTATGTACATGTTTCTTGTAAACTTTTTCTATAGGCCTTATTCTTGGAGTGTCTGTCCGGCGGGATACTTTCTCAATGGCCTCTATCGTACTGCGGGACAAAACTTGCATAACATAGAAGTAGGAAAATGTTGTAAACCTGTGAATCATCCTGAACGTTATGAACAATGTTATGATGAAAATATTAAATACAAGTTTGATAAGGAAGGATGGTCAACTTGTAGTAAGGCTGGTTTCTATGTTGTTGGAGTATATCGTGCATTTGACTGGCTCCACAATATCGACAAACTCAAGTGTTGTAACATGTCCACTGCAGGTAAGAATCTATCAATGTTAAAACATAGGCAGCCCAGCAAAATGTGTAAAAATATATTAAACGCTTAAAAATACGTATAAAGTTCGTCTCAATTTGCTATCAAGCGATTTTTTGCGAATGTAGCTCATTATACATGCAGATTCCGATGTTTACATCATTGTCTTTTCACATAGCATATTATCCTAATGCGGGCAACTATTTTACAAAAACATTTACACACACTAATACGTTTGCTTCATACAACAACAAAACCGCTACTTTCTGAAAAAAAACTAGATACAAAACACCTTGGATATTTTTTAGAGTTGAAAAAAGTTTAGAAGTATTTATATTTCATGGATAACAAGTGAGTTTTTATCGAAATTATTTTGTCGATAGGCGATAAAAATAATTTCGATAAAAACTCACTTGTTTTCCATAAAATTTAAATACTTCTAAACTTTTTTCAACTCTAAAAAGTTTGAATAAAGTTAGAAAAAATATCCAAGGTGTTTCGTATCTAGTTTTTTTCAGAAAGTAGCGATTTTTGTAGTAATTAAATGAAAATGTGCGTTTGTCATATTTGTACATGTTGTGATTAATGATTTCTGTTTAACTCAACAGAACCCAATATTTTAAACTTGTTGTGTATATTTCATAGTATATTTCATCATTTTTCGAAGAAAAGCTATCAAATTTAGCGTTTTCTATAATTCACTGCCAGAAATTTAATTTTCTTTTGTTTGGGTTATATCAAGTGAATTTGTAATTTTTGGATTACATTTCGTTTACATTCGAGCTAGGATGGACGTATATATAACGTTTTTCTGAATTAATACTAATTGATCAGCACAACCACAAACGTTTTTGTGTGCAACACGTGTACGTCACTGATCGTGATTTTTAACAAGCTATAGACTATACTGCATGGCTGTAGTCTTCAGATGATAAAACCTCTTGTTTTTAAAATATGTTGCAAATTTTAAGATCATGCAGAGCGAGCTTCCCATCATTTTGAATCCTGATCTATCGCGCATCCTCAACATTGTGTGAAAGGAGCTCGTACGATTTAATGAAGGACAGTTATATCGATGTAAATGCAATATTAGTTTTGAAGGGAGAAATTGCGGGGGTGATTATAACCAAAACCTCATTTGTAGGAGAGGCCTCATTCTCGTGTAATATCATATCACAACGTTTTACTTCCACTGCTTTTAGCTGTAATTGTAGTTGTGCACTTCCGATCTTCAAACCCCTTCTACAATTAGTTATTGAAATAGACGTAATGATATAAGAATATTTGCGTACATCCACATAATATTTCTTGGGAACATCTTCCTGCACGCCATACACTATAATACAAATTCTTAACACCATTTATGGTGTTATTTTAACACCAAGGATTTAACACCAGAAACCGGTGTTATTTTAACACCTTCTGTCCTTAAGTAGGTGTTATTTCAACACCTCTAAAGTTGTGTTAAACAATGTGAGTGTTAAATTGACACTTTGCAAATATTGTTATTTACGTCGTGTTAAATTAGCACCGCGGAAAAGGGTGCTAAGATAACACCTTTGTTTAACACCACCATTTGGTGTTAATCTAACTCCACCGAGGGGCTATTTTAACACCCTGAAATTAACAATGTATGTGCACTTCCGATCTTCAAACCCCTTCTACAATTAGTTATAGAAATAGACGAAATGATATATGAATATTCGCGTAGTTCCACATAATATTTCTTGGGAACATATCTTCCTGCATGCCATACGAATGATAAAAAGACTGAAATGAATTTAATCACTGAAAAGTACTATTAATTAAATTAAACGTTTATTACAACAAATGTTGTGCAGTTTATCACTGCATATTAGGTTCCATATTTAGTCACTGCAACTATTGTCTATCACTGCACATTAAAGATAGATTTGCTTGAGGGACGAAATAACCGTAATTATAATATAAGCGGCATATGACAGACATTTTGATTGGCTGAATGCGCGTGCATTGTGACGCAATAAGGCACTGCGGTCCCTAGCACTGCTTTGCTTTTTCTGTATTTTCGCCCCCCTCTTCATCTCGGCATTTTAGCGACATTTTTCTCGGCAATTTATAATTAGCGACTTTTTCTCGGTAATTTATAACTAGCGGCATTTTTCTCGGCAATTTATCAGAAAACAGGAAGGAATGGACCAAAGGAACAAAGCAATTTTATCTATAATTCTTCATGTAAACAGTAAAAACAGTAAAATTAACCGGCTTGGCATTCGTCCAATTTGTTTTTCTCTCTACAATTTTTGGGCAAAAGGGCGCAAAATAGCCGTGAAAAACCTTGAAAAAACCCAGGAGTAACAAAACCATAGTGAAAGGCAACAAATACTGAACATAAGTGATTTGGAAAGTACCTTCAATGCTTTTGATAAAAACGTGTAGACTGTAGATATCTTTTCGTCGAAATGCAAAAAATACAATAATTTTAAAAATTAAAACTGACCAACGATTTAACGTCTTTCATGGCAAATCTAGCAGCCCATGCAGATGCTGAAAAACATGAGTAGATTAGTCTGTGTATCACTGGGGTTTTCGCCAGAATTTTAAACAGTTTCTCCGCAACTTTAGCATGATAATGTTATCAAAATTTTGTTTTGTTTTGTTTTGTTTTGTTTTATTTTGTTTTTTTGCTCCTTCGTTCGCTTAAAAATTCTAGCGACAGTAAAAGCATGCGCGTGACGTCACTGAGTACATGTTAGGAGAATTTCAGATAGATCTTTTGGGTAAAAATGGTTTACTATGTAATATCTTCTACTTAAATTATAAAAGAAATAGAAAAACTCGCGTCTCGTGCGCTTATGGTGTGATAATTCACTCGGGTAATGTTGGGAGAATACTCTAGAAGCGTGTAAACATGCTTCTTACTAAAAACGCTTCTCTGGCATTCTCCCAACATTTCCCGCGTGCATTATGACACCATAAATGCACGGGACTTTTTTTCTAATTCTTAACAATGGAATATCGAGACTATATCAATTACATTGTGTATGCCTGTACCATTGCATGCTTTTCGTGGTTAGAGGTTTTCTCAGTTTTGACTTTTTATTTTGAAACGACATGTTTAATTGAATTAACTTTACATATGCGCGTTTTTAGTAACAGTGAAACCAGACTTTTGCCAGAATTCAGATTGGTGGGAATCGTTTGATAGAGAAGGATGGTCTACTTGCTTAAACAACAAACTCTTTATTACCGGATTTTATCGAAGCAAATTCGGGACCTTGAACAAGGATGAGATTTCTCGACTGAGAGAAGCAAAATGTTGTTCTTCTAATTCTCTTTATCGAAACCAAAAAAGTGAATGTAAAAATGCGAACTGGTGGACCTCTCTTAACAGGTAACGAAATGCGTAATTGCAGTGGTTTCTCGATTCCATCTTGATATTCCAAAAATGCACCTAACTATTTTCAGTGGTATTATAGGTCAGGTTTATGCCTGTGATTTATTCCTCAATACCGTTCTAAAACAGCAAGTTCACGACATTTATTTTCCTCTGTCGTGGAAATACTGTGCAGCACACATGGGAGAAGGGGGTTATTTTATCATAAGAATTCAAAGTTCGCACTCTTCATATGCCGCTTCATATGCCGAAATTCATAACAACAACACTGCAGCTGTACAGTTTTAGATTATTGTATTCGGTTAACGTTAAGATAGGTTTAGGAACAAAGTTATGATTATTATGTTATAGAGATATTAAGGTTCGGGTTAAGTCAATTAAGCTAAAGATTGCCCGTAGGATTCTAAGGATTTGTGGGTGCATGAAGTACTAATATATATGTCGTATAAAAGCGTAGATGTGTGTATTCACTGACGCCGCGCCATAGAAAATTCCTTATACTGCTGAGTGCATTGTCAATCTTTCTTGCGTTTCATGCATGCTTTTTCTATCATTTTCAATAGGCCAAATTCTTGGAGTGTTTGTCCGGCGGGATACTTTCTCAATGGCCTGTATCGTACTACAGGACAAAACTTGCATAACATAGAAGAAGGAAAATGTTGTAAACCTGTGAATCTAATACACTTGAACGCTTAAAATTTGAGTCTACGTTACCCTCCACTAAAATACCAAACCTTTTAATTTGTAATCTCCGCTCCCTGACGTCCAAGGTCGACGAACTTGACGCTGTGGTGTCTTTTAACCAAACGGACATGGTCTGCATTACAGAGACTTGGTTATCTCCTGCAATTCCTGACAATTTGGTATCCTTGTCCAATTTCAATCTGTTTAGGAACGATAGACTGGTTTCAAACGGCGGAGGTGTTTGTGCCTACATAAATAGCAATATCTATTGTAGACGAATTGAGGAATTTGAAAGCTCTTCGATTGAATCACTGTGGTTATCAGTGAGACCAAAGAAGCTACCCCGCTCTGTCTCGGTTATCTTACTGGCTGTTGTTTACCATTCAACAGCATCCCGCCAAACTGAAAATGTAGAATTGTATTCACACATTCAAACCAATGTGGACTCATTTTTATATTCCCACCCTGAAGCTTTGGTCCTAATTACGGGCGACTTCAATTTTAGAAGCACGGGTCTCGATGCAAACCATCTTAAAAGAATTGCTGGTCTGACGCAGATAGTCAAGGTAGCTACCAGAGCTGATGTAACTTTAGACTGGTGTTTAACCAACTCAAAGGTGGATAATATTTACGAATCAATCCAACTTCCTCCCATTGGAACCAGTGATCATTATACGATTCTTATGAAAGCCCAACCTCCTCCCTCAAAGCCAGACAATTCACATATATGGAAACGCGATCTCAGAGATAGCAGGATACGGCCTTTTGGACGATATATCACTACATTTGACTGGTCTCCTATCTTGGACATACATGACTGGGATACAAAATATGAAAAGTTTAACGATACAATGACTGTGATGATTGAAAAATTCTTTCCCTTGGAACGGATTAAAGTACGAAAGTGTGATAAGCCTTGGATGACGTCATCAATAAAGTCTGCTATTGGGAGACGCCAAAAAGCCTTACACGAAAGCGGGAAAAATTCAGATATTTATAAATATTGGCGTAACAGAGTCCAATCATGCATTAAAG